ATTTTGGATGGAAATCGTCCAAAATAATCTTACATGCAACGATCGAAAAGGTTAACAGCTTGTTTGGGAGCGTTTTTTTGCCACAAAAAATTGATTTTTTGACCGTTATTTCACTATTTCAGCCGTCATATTTGACTTCACAGGTGGATCCCACTTTTCTCCCAACGGTCAAAAAATCAATTCTCAAAATCACTTCCAAACAGGCTCTAAATGTGCTCTAACAATTGAAAAATTTGAAAAAAGTTTGCTAGCATTTCAAATGTTTGAATCTTCTGTTAGAATTATTTCTAATGCCTTCTCACCAATAATTGCATATTTTAAAAATGAATTTGCTGTGTAAGTTGGATTATTGAGGATTTGGCAACAGATACCGGAGGGAACAAATTACCCTTTGTGCCCCTGGTAAAGGAGAATTACCCATTTCTTGCACTAACAATGCTTCCTTGATGTGTTGACTTTTCATTTCTTTGCTTGAGCAATTTTTTTTCTGAGATCAGAAATGGCTTATGCTGCTGTTCTTTCTCTTGCGCAAACTCTTGATCAGATCTTCGTAGAAAATAAAAATTTAACTCTTAATGATCTAATACATAAGGTCGGTGAAATCCAAGAGTTGCTGGTAAAATCATCCCAAAATAGCAGCCGAGAAGTAAAGTCGTTGGAAATAAAAATCAGAGATATGGCTTATCATGCTGAAAATGTCATTGAAGTCTGGCAAATAGGCTTGCAGAAAAGATCTGATTCTAGGATAGATGAGGATGTAATAACAGAAAAGGATACTGCTATCAAGGATTTGCACGAAGTAATAACAGAAATGGGTACTATCAAGAAAAAGATGGAGAAGATTAAAGGCGAGAGCGGCGAACAATATCTTCCAGCATATTGGAGTTATTTTCCATCAAGATCAGCTCCTGGTGGGCAGACCAATATGGTGGGATTTGAAAAAGACTTGATGCAGATAAAGGATGGACTCTATAATGTACAAAAATCAACCCGCCAGATCATTCCAATTGTCGGGATGGGAGGCATCGGCAAGACTACTCTGGCAATGAATGTTTATAATGATCCAGTTATCGCAGATCACTTTCATATTTGTGCTTGGGTAACAATTTCTCAACAATATCGTATTACAGAAATTCTTCTCAGCCTTTTAGATGAGATTGGTGTTCTTACCGATAAGATACGCAAAGAGAGTGATGAACGATTAAAAGAACTATTATACAAAAGTCTCAAGGGCAGGAGATACCTAATAGTAATGGACGATGTATGGAGTACAAATGCTTGGAATGACGTACAAATGTTATTTCCTGATGACAATAATGGGAGTCGAATCCTATTGACAACCAGACTAACTCACGTAGCTGATTATGCCACTTCAACTAACCATCGTCACCTGATGAATTTTCTGACTGAGGAAGAAAGTTGGAAATTATTTTGTCAAAAGGTCTTTGGAAAAGCAAATTTCCCTCCTGAGTTGGTGAATATCGGAAAGAAAATATCAAAAAACTGTCAAGGACTTCCATTATTAATTGTTGTGATTGCTAGACTTCTTGCAGAGGAAAATAAGTCACTAGATTACTGGAAGTATGTTGCTGTAAATTTATGCTCAATTATAGTAGGAAAAAATGATCGCTGCTCAGAGATATTAACTTTTAGTTACAATAACTTGCCTCTTCATTTGAGACCATGTTTTCTTTATATGGGAGTTTTCCCAGAAAACTATGAGATTCCTGTTTCTAGACTCGTCAAATTATGGGTTGCTGAGGGTTTTGTATACTCGGATATGGATGCAGAGCAACATCTGATGGAACTTATTGATAGAAATCTTATTTTGGTCGGTCAAAAAGGGTCCGTTAATGGAAAAATTAAAACCTGCAGAATGCATGATATTTTGAGAGAGCTCTGCGTGAGGATAGCTCATGAGGATAATTTTCTTTACGTCAAGAGCAGGTATCTGCGTTTCCTTCCAGAAGAGTCAAGTTTCAAACGCCGTCTAAGTATTCATGATGATGCTTCATATAGTGGCAGTGAGGAGAACGTCACAATGCAATCAATGGATCTTGTCCGTTCTTTTATATATAATGGTTGGGATGAAACTCAATTACATTCTTATTATTATTTTGGTTATCGACTGTTGAGGTTATTGGATATGGTTGGAGTAGAGCTTAGCGGGTTCCCGGAGGAAATACTGCTGCTAGTTAACTTGAGGTATATTGCTATCGCCTGTCATGCTATGATTCCAGCTTCTATTAGTATACTTTGGAATCTAAATACTTTAATTGTTGAAGACTCAACGGGAATTGCAAGTCAACTGCCCATTGAGATTTGGAATATGCCACAATTGAGACATCTCATATTCTCTCGAGTTTTCTTGCCTGCTCCTCCCACTAGTCCTTTCGTTCTAGTAAATCTAAGGACACTGTCAGCGTTAGACAGTTTGGATTATGACATCAGCAACAAAACTCCATATTTAGAGAAATTGGGAATTCATTATAATTCTGAGTCATCTCACTCTCCCAACCATTTTGCCCGTCTCCAAAACCTAGAAACAATGAAGATTCTCTTTGACTCGCCAGCAAAATCTACATTCATTAACATTGCTTTGCCATCAAGTCTCAAAAAGATAACTTTGGAGCGTGGTAGAATTGATTGGGAATACATGAGGATTTTTGGTTTCTTGCCCAATCTAGAAGTACTAAAATTGCGTGAGTATGCCTTCCAAGGCAAAGAGTGGATACTAAATGAAGGGGAATTTCTCAAACTAAAATTCCTGTTAATTTGGGAGACAGATTTGGAGCGCTGGATAGTCGACGATACCCATTTTCCACGTCTAGAGCACCTAATCCTCAGGAATTGCTCGAATTTGGTAGAGATCCCATATGATATTGGAGAAATACCAACACTTGAAACTATTGAGATAGATTACTCCAGTCCTTCCGCTGTGAATTCAGCAAAGAAAATACTCGACGATCAACAAAGCCTGGGAAACAATGGACTTCAAGTTTTCTTCCATCCAACAAAAGCAAGAGTCTATCCACTAAAATTTGGGGTAAATTAATTACTGATCCTATATTTATATGTGACTTTCTTAATTTTTAGATATTAATTAACTTTCAACAGATCGAGCAAGATGAATCAGGTCACTTCTATCGAAGAAAAACCAAACTCGATGAGTTCAAGGTAAATCATTTCCTCAACCTATTATTGTATATTACTTTCTTGGGTTTTCGATGCACGAAGCCAATATTGATCAGCTATGCTTGGAAAAAAAAATTTATGATCTTGAGATAACTTCTGAGTAAACTATCCATCACTTAATATTTGACGTAGAATAGCTTTACTTTAGTTAGTATTTCAAAACTATCATCTCTTTCACAAATCTCAACTGAGCATCTACTCAGCAAGTATTATGTATTGTCAGACTAAAGAAAAACCTGGAAGCAGTACAGAAAAGTCTGGAAGCAGTATAGAAAAATCTGGAAGCAGTA